CCTTGGGCCAGTCACACTTCTCAGAAGTCTCTCAGCCTCACTCACCTCACAGAGTGTTTGTTTTGGGGGAGGAAGGGAAGAGAGATTGTTAGCCACTTTGAGAATCCTTTGAGTAGTGATAAAGCAGGATATCAAATCCAAAATCTTCTTCTTCTACATTCAAAATTATGCCAGTTTCAAAGGTCATTGGACTGAACAGATTGCTTCTGCAGCTCCCCAAGACAGGCTTGCCTCTTCCTTGAGAACTGAAAACATTACTTTGGTGAAAGAGATCTCTTCCCAACAAACTATAATTTCCAGATTTCTTTGAGGGGTGTCATGGGAATTAGAGACTGACTGTCACCGGAACCTGTCAAAGACTTCAAGCAGCTACACCTTTTCTCTAGAAAGCCTCATAGCATGCTATACAGAGGGAAACGATTTGTGGAGCAGACAGGAGCCATAGGAGCAGCATAGGTTTGGAAGGAAGTGGTGCTTAGCAAAGCATTGCCTCAGTGTGGGAGACACAGCAGGAAGCAATAGGGAGCTCTTTCTGGGTTAAAACCCTGTAGCAAGTTGGGAAGTAAGCTCCTTCTAGGAACAGGTAGTCCCATGGACTGCAAGAAGATCAAACCTATCCATTCTTAAGGAAATCAGCCCAGAGTGCTCACTGGAAGGACAGATCGTGAAGCTGAGGCTCCAAGACTTTGGCCACCTCATGAGAAGAGAAGACTCCCTGGAAAAGACCCTGATGTTGGGAAAGATGGAGGGCACAAGGAGAAGGGGGTGACAGAGGACGAGATGGTGGGACAGTGTTCTCGAAGCTACCAGCATGAGTTTGACCTAACTGCGGGAGGCAGTGGAAGACAGGAGTGCCTGGCGTGCTCTGGTCCAGGGGGTCACAAAGAGTTGGACAGGGACAGGGACAGAGTCCTTCAGGGACTCGCATCTCTGAAGGAAAGACAAGGTCTGGGGGCTTCAAGACCGCTCATAGGTTGGTGGCTCTCATCTGGGGGAGATTGCAGAACAAGGAGGATGTTACAAGGCCCTTGACTTTTTGAGCTACACATCCATATACTACACATGAACAGTTGTCCATTGTCCACACCGCTTGGCTATGCTTCAGACTTTGCTGTTGAAGCTTTATCTACATGGAAGGATTCAATATGTTGTCCAGGGGTGGGGAGGTGTCAAGTAAATGAAGTTATTAGTACCTGTGCTCAGAAAGAAGTTCTGGTCCTGGAGCAGGTCTATGCAGCCTTATCTGGGTATTCATATTACTCATGGGTAAAAAAAATCATGTGAGGGACAACAGGGCACACTTCTCATCTGGGGAATCACCTTTGTCCTTATTTATAGCTCTCCACAAGTTTGAGGAAAACGTTCTAAAGCAGAAAGCCTTGTATATCAATAGAAGCTCCCCATATCACATAAACATTGGGACCGTCAGGGTTCTAAATCATGCAGTTATTGAAATACAGTCAATTATTCAACCCAGAAAAAGAAAATGGGGGAGGACATTTCCCTTTTTTAATGTTTTTTGTATATATTCAGTAATTTTAGAAACTGGCAATGATTTGTGGGCTTCTGTAATGTAAGTGGGTAAAATACTGCTATTTCATGGGTTTCTGCAGGTGCCTGATGTTCTTTTAGCAAAGGCTGAGTATGCACAGTCTAGATGTCATGGCAAGGTTTCTGATTTATAAAAATTCATAGTCCAAGCATAATGAATTTTTCCAAGCTTGGGCGCCTTGCTCTGTGGATGCACACAGACACAGAAATTGCAGGCCAAAGGAGAATGCTCACCACACAAACAGAGGCCAGGGTAATTTTGCACATTTTGAATATGTTCGGGTTAGCAGTGCTCTAATTAAACTCTGATTAGCAAGTGGGTTTGATCCAGGCCAATTCAGTCTTGAAAGAGGCTGTGTTCCCCACCCCCTTTGGCTGCCAGTTTATCAGAGGTAGGCAATTAAGAACTCACACACCTCCAGGTCTTGGGCGTTTTGAAAGCCTGGATCTCATGCCAGTCAAGCAATAGAGACCCATTGTCCTTAGAACAATATTCTCCTCTAATCTCACTTCTAGCAATTTACTTTTTCTTTCTAAGCAGATTTAGAAACAAAAACCCTTGAATAAGCAGGGGGGAGGACTAGTCTATGGCAGTGGCAGGCTGTAGAGTAAATACCACTGCTCTATATGAGTGTCTAATCCCATCTCCAAAGTGGGAGTTTTCCCAGTCCATTCAGTTTTTCATTTAACAAGCACTGGGTAAATAAACGTTGACTGCATCCCTGCTTTGATTTAGGGGAACCTGCGAGGATCCAATTATGTTTGGGGGTGGGGTGGGCAGGCATTCCCTTTCTCAAAGCAAAGACAATGCCGCCATAGAAGTCCCATGTAATTATTGCTTCACTACAAATTTACAAGCCTAGAGGTGAGCTTTGCTTTTGTTGACTGGTTAAATGCAATTATTACCTTTCTTTCACTTTCAGGTTCCCAAACTCTGGTGCCTGACGCTTTTGTTCACAAAGCCCCAAGAGCCAAAAAAGATTTAGCTGGAAATCAACACTATAGCTTTGGGTTCACTGAATGACACACAGTCATAGCTGGCCAAAGATTCTGAGTTTAAAGGAACCCCAAAATATGCTATATACATGCTTAATAATCTCCATTCATGACCAAAGAAAAATCACATAGACGTGGCACTCAAAAGCAAGAGCCCTCATGTCGTAGCCAATGGTTTGACTGACCTATACAGTGGTACCTCGGGTTAAGTACTTAATTCGTTCCGGAGGTCCGTTCTTAACCTGAAACTGTTCTTAACCTGAAGCACCACTTTAGCTAATGGGGCCTCCCGCTGCCGCTGCGCAGCCAGAGCATGATTTCTGTTCTTATCCTGAAGCAAAGTTCTTAACCTGAAGCACTATTTCTGGGTTAGCGGAGTGTGTAACCTGAAGCGTATGTAACCCGAGGTACCACTGTAGCATCTTTTGATCCATGCCACATCTGTTCCTCTTAGCTCTTGCAAAAAGGTAGCCATTTCCTTTTGCTTAACACTTTCAGAGAGGGGGAGTGGAGAAGAAGAGCGGACCTGGGATACTGCAGCAAAACTCCAGATTTTAGAATGATATCCAGAATGGACCTGTCACACTGTACCACGTTATGGGTATTGACAGAAAGGGAGCACAACCGAGGAGCTATCCCCATGGTACTACAGACTTGAGTTTGGATGTTCAAGGTCATGGTTACAGCAAATGATCCAGTGATGTTATCCATCTAGCATTCTTCCAAAGGCATTTGTACTTGGGAGGCAAGACTGAGCACAATGATGTTAGTTAGCATTGCCCTGGGAGTACGGTACATGACTGTTCCATCATTTCTACAAGCTACTGTACTTCCATTGAGAAGACACAGTTAGGATCCGGTGTGGATCTCCAGGTTATCTGCCTGGTTTCCTGCTGAAGGCCTACAGTGGCATAAACCCCACATCCTGGCTCAGTTGGGGATTAGCTGGCTCAGCCGAGACTGGTGGATCTTATACTGGTGTAAGCCCCACAAAACAGCATGCAAAAGGCATTATATTACTGAAGTTTTCTTCGTATAAATGTGCATCATGCCTTTTCTGCATGTTATTTTCAGTGATATATTGCATATAGAATTTTGTGTGACAGCAGACATTTGCACAGAAATGTTGACTCATTTTCATGAGGATTTTTTTAAAAAAAAAATTTCAAAAGGATGCCAAATTGTGAAGTGCTGAATTGAAGATTGGTAAAATGAGAAACTGAAATTGACCTGTTCACTCATCCCTATATGTGTGTTCTGTGTGTATACAATGTGTTTGCACAATGATGTCGGGGGCCACACCCATTGTTGGCATGTGGCCCCAAGAGAGTTGGCCAAGGAAGAATGTGGCCTCTGGCCAAATAGGGTGAGCCATCCCTGTTATAAGCCATACTAAACCAAAGTGAACTTACATGTTTATTTTCTTTTCTCAGATTATACTACAATCTTATGATGATGCGCCTTTTATTCTCATATCAGTAAACTAGGCTACGGGGATGGGGATGATAGATCTCTTTAAAAGTGGGCAAAGCCAAGCTCATTTGGAAGGTTATTTGAGTCTGGCGTATGTCCTTGACCTCTCGATAGGAAGCAGAGAATTAGCTGCAGTGCAAATCAAGAATGCATCCAACAGTCTCCTCCCGGATTCCTTTACTCTCACTTTTTAAATTTAAAAGAAGAAAAAAGTCTCCCTCTGAATTAAATGAGTGAATCAAGCGATGCTGTCACACACACACACACACACACACACACACACACACACACCCTTTTAAAAGAAATAAGTGAGTAAATGTTTCTGTTTTCCTTCAAAGTACAATTTAAAGTTCCCCCGAATGTTCTCTTCCTTTGTCTTTCCTCCAGCCGTTGAAGGGTTAATACTAGACAGCTCTGAGAGCTTAACACTGTGAAGGGGTGTGTTTGTGTAGAATTATTCCCACAATGAGAAACGGTATTCTCTAGTGGTACACATTAATCAGCGCCAAACTGAAGTGTGTGCCTCGCTGACCTGCTTGCATTTCCTCAAGTGTTTTGTCTCGGTCTTTCTCAAGAGGAATTTTGGTATTCACAGTTGGTGATGGGTATTCCTCTGTGAGATTGTTTCACTTGAAACTGAGATCACCTCTTTTGACTATCCAGGACTGAACTTCAACCCACCTAATACCAAACATAGGCAGATAACTTGGGAAGGGAGAGGCAGCGGAGGGGGATGAGAGTGGCCTGTATGCTCTTGAGCTTTAAGTTCATATCCGCAGACCGCAGGTTCACAAGCCAAAGCAGTATATTAGGCAGCCATTCATTTAAGCCAGAGGTTCCCAAACTTATTTGGTTTATTGTCCCCTTTTTAGGGAAGAAAAAAAAAGTGACAAATTGAATTCTTTTATGTATCTATATTTCCATTTACGTCCTACAACAAAGTAAAGAAAGATCTTGTTGCAAATAAGACACCTTGAAGCTTTAAATTATAAAATTATTTATTAAAATTGACCACAGTAACATTCGCATTACACACAGAAAATCAAGATAACAAAGGATGACATTAAAATAAAAATTACGAATCACATTTAAAACAATCCCAATGAGAAGGAGGAACCTTTAAGGTTATGTTACATGGGTAAGCATCATTACACAATAGATGAAACATGTACGAATGGTTTTTCAAAATTGCACAAGGAGGTAGACTAGGCTCCAGGATGGAAAACCCAGGGGCAGGCCAGACTAAAGCCAAGGGGAAACCCCTTGCCTCTAGCATGGCTACCAGATCCAGAGAAGGTGTTCTTGCCATCCTGCAAAGGTGCGTGACCTTACGGTAAGCATCATGACACAAGAAATGAAACATGTCTGAATGGTTTTTCCATTTTTTTATCTTTTTATGCTTCTACCATGCCCTTATTTTTATTCAACGCCCCCCAATTGCTCCCTGGATTATTACAGCGCCCCCAGGGGGTGGTATCACTCCCTTTGGGAAACACTGATTTAAGCTATTTGTGGTGCACGTTTGTGATTAGACGCAGTTTGTACTTCATGATATGGCCTGAAAGGGACCGTTTATCCAGCAGAGGGCAGAGGCGGAATAGCTGGCTGTGGCCATGCAGATTTCCAGGGTGTGTTTCGAGAAATACCGCAATGTTCTTTTTCGTAGGGTGTCATTTGCCTGAATTGCTTGGCAGAGTAATGGGAATAAGGCCACGATGCCCTGTGCATTGATCCAAAGAGTGGCAATGACTTTCCACAATACAATTTGCTCAAAACACACTGGAAGAGAACAGCTGTTGCAGTGCCAGTCGACTATGCAAGACATCTTACCAGAGCACACTAGTAGTGAGCGGTTGTTGCGTGACCAGCAGGTGAATCTATCGCTGGCAAGTGTGTCGCAGTGGGAGTCCCCATTTTTCAGTACAGGGTTGATCATACCATCTGCTGGAGCACCAGAATAATTGAGGGATTGCTCTGGTAATTGAACAAGATGATGATAAGGCTTTTAAGTTTGTAATAGTTTGGTATGGAGGACGTCACAGAATGAAGTAAAACCGCGGATGGTGACAAATGCATACTGGATATTTCTTTCCTGTTTTTTTGATGGGGCTCCTACTTGATGCAGTTTTAATGGTAAGAAACACTTTACTGACAGGAAGTCCCATTGCATAAGCCAGGGGTCAGCAACCTAAGGCCCATGGGCCACAAGCGGCCCACGGGGGTCGTATAACCAGCCCACAAGCCACCCGATTGGTGAGTCCCTGCACAATGTGCTAAACCAGCGCAGTGCGGCACAGGGACTCGCTTCCATGGCGCCAGAAATCGCGTCTGCACAATGCTAATGCTGGAAATCGCAGGTGCACACACTCATGCACGTGCGTGATCCAGCTCATGGAGGGATCTCTGCTAGAGTGAACCAACCCAGGAGAGGTAAACCTTGCCGACCCCTGGCATAGGATTACATAGCATACTCTGCTTCTTACAAACAAAAAGTACATTTTTGTACAATATCTTATATCTTCTATAATACAGTGGTACCTCGGGTTAAGAATTTAATTCATTCCGGAGGTCCGTTCTTAACCTGAAACTGTTCTTAACCTGAAGCACCACTTTAGCTAATGGGGCCTCCCACTGCTGCCACGCCGCCAGAGCATGATTTCTGTTCTCATCCTGAAGCAAAGTTCTTAACCCGAAGTAATATTTCTGGGTTAGCGGAGTCTATAACCTGAAGCATATGTAACCGTATGTAACCCAAGGTACCACTGTACCTTGAAGCTCTGGAAGCATACACACAAATGCCAAAATGATTTCCGATCATCCTTCCCCAACTTGGTGCTATACAGATGTTTTGGATTACTGCTTCCACAAGTCCATGTCGGTCTCGTCATTCGTCAGGGATGGTGGGAGTTTTAGTCGACTCCACAACATCTGGAAGATACCAGGTTGGGGACATGCATGGGGCAACATTCAAAAGACAGGGGATGAGAAATTGAAAATAGCAGCTGGAAGAAAGTTTGTGAGATGAAGGTAATCACATGTAAGGCAGAATAAGAGAAATGGCACAGAAAAGAAAACAGAGGGATGTGGGAAGGATGAGAGATTGGAAATTCCACTCCATACCAAAGAGACATTTGGACACCTTTCAACCCATCAATATGCTTACAAATTTGTCTTTTAGGTTCTCAGTTTCTATCCCATACACTTTGAAATACTGGAAATACTATTTCATAACTGAAGCAAAGTTTGGCAGACATCAAGGTCCCCTGCTACCCTTTCACATTTAACACGGGTCTCATTTCTGACTTTTCCAATTTAAATAAGAATATAACAGACATACCTATCATAGTAGCTGTGAGAAATTTGTTACTTGCAGGCACATTCCATCCATTTGACCACTGGGCCTTTTGTAGAGAAATGTCAGGAATGTGTCTTCAGTTACACCTTCCAGTAATTGGGCTCTGCTCTCCCATTAGATGATGCTTTGAAGCTAGTAAGCAAACACACGCACCCGCTTTCTTTTATTTCTGCAGATGTGGCATAAAGCTCAGCCCCTTTAAAGTAGTTGCAAGCTGTACACATCCCTCAAAAGTGTCAGCTGAAATGAAAAATAATAATAATAACAACAGATATTACGCATTTAGACCATACCAGTAAAGCGAGATGAGCGCCGCAACCCCAGAGTCATTTGCAAATGGACTTAACTGTCAGAGGTCCCTTACCTTTACCTTTTACACCAATTTTGCAAAAACTGCACTGACTGTCTATTCAAATACAGGCCAATTTCCAAATGCTGGTACAGACCTTTAAAGAAAGATATTTTTTCTTCTTCATTTTCAAGGTCAGACTCAGTATTCCTCATCCTGCATAAAGATAGTATTAAGTGGCTGAGTTTCATAATCACATTATTCCCCCCTTTGCTTGTTCATAAATACACTAGAGATTAGAAGTGGTTTGAAATCTGCTATGTTGATTTGTGGGGGAAGATAATATTAAATATAGGGACGCGGGTGGCACTGTGGTCTAAACCACTGAGCCTCTTGGGCTTGACGATCAGAAGGTCGGCGGTTCGAATCCCCACAATGGGGTGAGCTCCCGTGGCTCGGTCCCAGCTCCTGCCAACCTAGCAGTTTGTAAGCATGTCAAAGTGCGAGCAGATAAATAGGTACCACTCCAGTGGGAAGGTAAACAGTGTTTCTGTGTGCTGCTCTGGTTTCCAGAAGCGGCTTAGTCATGCTGGCCACATGACCCAGAAAAACTGTGGACAAACACCAGCTCCCTCGGCCAGTAAAGAGAGATGAGCACTGTAACCCCAGAGTTGTTTGTGACTGGATTGAACTGTCAGGGGTCCTTTACCTTTACCTTATAATATTAAATTGGATGGAAAAATTGGGTGGGGGTGTTGTCACTGCATTTTCCATTCCAATAGCCAATAAAGAGAGTCCATTTCTTGATAAATGGGCCATTCTGCTGATCAGTTAGTGTTCCTCTCTGGTGACATTCATAATCAGCTTCCTGAAGTGGTTGCCTCACGCTACCCAATGATAGAGCTGATCTTGGACTGTCCGCTACTTATGGAAGAATTCATCATCATCATTTGTAACCCCCATGCATATGTAGATCTCAGGGGGGGTTCACAACTGAAAAGAAAGCCATGGGCCTTTTCTGTCTAGTAAAAGAGACTATCATTGCACACACAAAAGTCAGCCTACTGTGAGAGAAATGTTTATAACCTTCAGATGAAACCAAGATTGATTCCTCTGGCACTACAATAGAGAAGAATCTGTTGAAAATCTTAAATCCCTTCAATATGTCACTAGACAGCTCTCGTTCTCACTCGCTCTGTGTATGAAACAGGTGAGGTCATGCTGAAGAGGATCTTTTTTCTTTGATGAAGCTACATAAACCTCTATCACAACAGCAGAGGCTTCCTAAACAAAGGATTAAGAACAAGTGAAAGGGAAGTTAAGCCTTGTTCTGCCACTCATCGTCTATGTCAGAGAAGAGCAAGAGAGATGGTTTATTTAAACTAAGCCCATTGCTTGCTATAATTTTCTAGAATCTGAGGAGGCTCGTTTTTTGAGCTTTCAAACTGTGGTAACCACAGGACATCTCACTGAGTACTTGCTTGTGTGTCAGATTCTTCACTGCCCACAAGCGGTTCAGTTCACTTGCAGGGCCAGGGGTGCTTTAAGAAAACTTATTCCTATCATTAAATAATGGCATGATATGGAAGCAGTCGGCTGTCTTGGGCTTGCAGTCTTGGTCCCAAGCAAAAATTATATCTTGCTTTCCTTTAGGGAAGGGCTGGGGTATCTCAGGTCCTTTAGGGAAGGGATGAGATATCTCTCTGATCTCCCCTTTGGCCCCATCCCACCCCAGGATTCAGGTATGAAGGTGGCAGAGGAATTAATAGGAAGCCCAGAGTGACTGGAGGAGCACCCATTTGTGTGCTGGGCCCGGGGGTAAACCCGAGCAACATGGTCCAGGTCCGGTCCCAAATCCAAGGATTCCGCGAGGAGTCAGTCCAACAGAGCCAAGGGCAAGTCACAAGGCAGGAAACCAGGCTAGGTCAGGCACAGGGTCTCAGGCTGGTTCCAGCAAGCAGCAATGTTGCTCCCGCAACCTGGGGTGGGGTCCAACAACCTTTTATCTCTGTCAGGGTAACGGCCGGTCCTGATCCCCCGTTGACTCACCTTCCTGTCTCGCCCGAAGGTCAGCAATCCTCCTACAAGTACTCAGGTCTCTCCTCTCAGACCTGAGTCTCTGCAGCTCGGGAGATGTCGGTGGGTTACTAGACCCAGGGGCCTCCTCAACCTCTCTTGACCCAACTGGTAGTGGAGCAGCTGTAAGTGATGGCCCAGCTGAAGGCAACAAGGTATTCCCCACATCTGGAGCCAGGGCAGGCTCAGGCCCCTGACTCGGCCCAGCTGGTGCTTGTTGCAGGGGAACCTGTGCAGACTGGGCTCTTCAGAATCAGGCCCCAGACTAGGTTCAGATGCCACCTGAGGCAGAGGATCCAGTGCGGACTGAGACTCCTCCAGTTCCGAATCTGAGCCTGAGTCCCAGGCCATCACAATTTGGTTGCCAGATAGCTCTGTTGCCAGGGATCTAGTTGAGAGAAGACCCAGCTACAAGCAACCCAGCAGAGGATCTGGCAGTGATTATATGTCCTTCAGTCTCCTTGAGTCCTTTGTTGGGTTAACAGATCCATTCTGAACTCATTAATCTTTAGCTCTTCCTAGCTCACCTCCTGCCCTGTTTCTGGCTCTGACCTCCACACCACGTCCTGGTCATGGGCAGCAAAACAGGACTCTGGACAGCAGCTCCCAGTAGACCCTACTGCCTGAGATATGGGTAGCATTGGCTCACCTGAAGGCTTAAGATGGCTCATGTTTTCGCCTCTGGTGGTTCCGCCCCCTTGGAATAGCTATATGTAGTCTTTTGGAGTTCTCCTTTCTTAGAGCAAGGCATTGTGAGCAGTGCCTGTTTTAAGCTTCAGTTTACTGTTGTAAGCTGAGCCAACGACAAGTGTGAAGAGCTCAGGCTCTTCTGGGGTTTGATAGAACATAATTAGTAGAATGTCTGTTGCTAGCAGGAGGCTAACAAAGTAAAGAGGGCTATCTATGTTTGAAGGATGCCCTTCAGTTGTAGTCCCTTGTTGCATGAGTGCCACGCAACCACACACAGCACAATTAGCAAGAGGGCTCCCTAATATAGCAAGTTTGGCTTCCTGCATTTTGAAATACACATTTACATCTAAACAGTGTGAGAATAAGACCATTAAGTGCACAGTCTACATTATTTCACTGCCCCACTGTGAGTTTACGTTGGGAGCACATCAGGGAGAATTAGTTTCCGTATGACAAGGTGCTGTACCTTAGCTGGTATGTTTTGCCACCAACAACATATTCAGAGAGTCCCTAACTACTTAGAGAGCCTTCCTTATTGGCGACAAAAAGCCCAGCAGACTAATGCTCCCCTGGCCATTTTGAAACTGCTGCATCAAAAGGTTTGCATGGATTATTTTTTCCTACTCTGTTGTTCTGGAGCTTTGGATAGTATATTGGATAGGAAATGATTATTTGCCATCTATGGCAATAGCCAATGGAAGTGCTTAAAGCAGCTGCCTTAAGTTGGACAAAAGTGATTCTGCAACTAAGGGTGGAGCCACACCATACATTAAGGCATATTCTATGCATGTTTACAGCACATGAATTCCCCCAAAGATTATTGGGAACTGTAGTTTTTTGCTTTTGTTTTTTTTAAAAAAAAGAATACCAGGGATTTTAGCCCCATGAGGGAGAAAATGGAGTTCCCAAGATTCTTTGGGGGAACTCGTGTGTTTTAAATGTATGTTGGATGTGCTTTAAATATATGTAAAGGTAAAGGTAAAGGGACCCCTGGACAGTTAGTCCAGTCAAAGGCGACTATGGGGTTGTGGCGCTCATCTTGCTTCAGGCCAAGGGAGCCAGTTTTTCTGGGTCATTTGGCCAGCAGGACTAAACCGCTTTTGGCGCTACAGAAACACCATGACGGAAACCAGAGCG